GTCGCACTTACCAACGTCCCTTTTTGCTTATGGCATAGTGGTGTCATCGCTCTTCCAGCGTCTGAGCTCCCTCTGGCACCCTTGCTTCTTCTTCTCTGGTCAATTTGGCAACTAGGGTTTGGGGAATTGGTCAAAAGAGGTTTAAATACCTCTCATTCTTCAATCAGGGTCGTTCGTGCAGGGACACGTGGAGCAATGAAGGCCGTCTAATCCGACCTATTTAGGGCATTTTGATTTCCCTTCTGTGTGCATCTTAGATCGTTTAATCAGTCAATTCTACGAATCTGGGTCATTGATCACGCAACCATTAGATCTATTACGTGGACGAGTAAAGCTGTATGTCTAAATTTGGGCAGGATCGTGGTTGGGCCACTCGTGCGAGCGAGAATAGATGTGGGTCGTTAGATCAGTGTAGCACATAGATCGCTCACCTGGCCTCCTGCGTGAAAACGCTTGCTAACGCAGCTGTCACGTGGCGCGCCGTGATTCGTCGTGTTTCTGACGTGGCCTTCCTACGTGACCCATTTCCTTTAATTTACAAATTGACCCCAGTGTTTTCAATTTTCTTTCAAAAGTGCCCTCCTGTATTCACAATTTAGTCATGATTTTTTAAAATTATTTCAAAAATGTCAAAAATACCTATATTTCACAAAAAAAAAACAATTAAAGTTAAATCTTTTAATTTTTATTATTATTTTATAGACTAAATACATTATTTCGAATCTAATTCTCGGATTCGGAATGTTACATATATCTATTCAAACATTAAAAAATTAGCTTATTTATCTTCTTATCACAACTAATAGATTCAGGTAGTCACAAATATTTAATACTTGAAATTTATGCTATATATATTTATTATTAGTCTCCTAACTTTATTTACTCTTGTTAAAAATATCATACAAAATTTGAAAGTCAATTAAATATCTATATATTCTTTAATAAGAGTGTAGAGTTTGATGCAAGTTTTTGTTCGGCTTTACTCGTATAAAAAGCATGGTGTTACCTGCAACAAGGCATACGAAATATTAGTAATTGTTCTATAAATATTTATCTAACGAATATTTACTTCACATTTTAGGTAAAAAAAAATTAAATTAGTTTTCTACTATTAATATTGCATAGAAAATAGTCATAGTACATTACATAATCATATTTATAAATATAAAAAATTCTAAAATTTTTATAATTTTCTTCGATAATACACATTCAATATGATCATATACCTTACAATTACATAAGTGTGAAATAATCATTTTATTGAGTTTTAATGATTTCTAAAAGTTATAAAATAATAAAAGCTTAATCAATTATCAACATATTTGATAGAAAATTAAATTGAGGATGATGTCTTATGTCAAATAGGAAAACCAATTGATCGCGTTGAGCATTCAATTCGTCAAATAAGCATAATAAAAATATAATTAATTAAATAAATGTCATTTTTATTATTAAAAAAAATGTCAATGTAAAAATAATATTGTCAATTTAAAATATTTTTAATTTTTTTTTTTTTTTACGAAGACTTAAAATATCATCGTATAATTAATTATTGTTTACAAAAAAAAAAGTTTTTTCCCCATAGAAATCTTTTATTTTTATTTTTATAAATACTACTTATATGATTATAATTACTAAGTTTTATGTAATAATATAAAATTTAAGATATATTAGTTGTAAGTTGAAAATCCCAAAATGACCCTCCGACAGACATGATTGAACAAATCCAACCTACAAAATGAGAAAAATAAGCGTTTTGCTCGTTGTCCTCAAAATTAAAACAACAAATCACGAATACCTCGCTCTATCTTTCAAACACCCAAATCAACGGCTCCCATTCGCCCCAACTTGCTCGATCTTTAACACATCTCCATATATAACCCCCACCCTCTTCCCCTTCAACCCCCCCATTTTCTCCTTCCCTTTTTGTTTTCTCTCCTCTCTTTTCACATCACTTCATCTCCATCTTTCACTCTCCCATACAACAAACACAAAACTAAACCATTTCCTGAATTTCTTCTTTTGTTTCTGTCATCTCTCTAGACAATGTCGACGACAGAGAAGGAGAGAGAGACTTACGTTTACATGGCCAAGCTCGCCGAACAAGCCGAGCGATACGAAGGTATGTTTTATTTTCTTATATTTCTCTCTTTATATCGTGGATCGGGTCGTTTCCTGGTGCAACATTCTGGTTTAGTCCAGGTTATTGATTAAAATATTCTCCTTTTCTGCGATGTAGCTAGACAAATAAGATTTTCGGTTCGAGTTCGGTTTTCTCTTCTGTTGTTATTTTTTTCCTTTGTACGTGATTGTCTGCTTGATTATTGAATATCGAAAGAAATCGTGCTCAGACTGTCCTTCATTGGTTTCGAAATTCGTTTGGACTAATTTATGCACGTAATTAAAACTTTTGACTTAGAATTAGAGGTGCAATTGAAGGTGCTATCAGGAATGAATGAAAAATTCCTTATGTGTTCTAATAAGAAAGCTAGACGATCTTTTTTGTAGAATTCTTTCAAGAGGAATTGTAGTAACAAACAGAAAATTTCTGTTTTTAAGTTAGTTTGTTGTAATGCCGCATCTGATCCTTATTATGGTCTAGTTATTGATGCATTAACTGACATGATTATGGGCTAAAAGTACCCATTTGGTGTTTTTTTTTAATAATATCAGTTGATTATCAACTGTTTATTCTCATCTGCCGTAAATATGCTCGCTATTGAGCTTTAATGAACTATTGTTTGAGTTGAAGCTATTGAGCTTTAATGAACCATTGTTTGAGTTGAAATGTAAACGGTTCCGGATCCACTACCATGCACGACAGGTTGTAACAGTTTGCCAGAAGTGTAGGGAAGTATGGAGTTGCTGTAGATTGAAAACATTGGATAACAAACTGGGAGTATAATCTTTATTCTGAATTTTTGCTTGGTTGTCACGCAGAAATGGTTGAAAGTATGAAAAATGTTGCTAAACTTGATTGTGAGCTGACTGTGGAGGAGAGGAATCTCCTCTCTGTGGGATACAAAAACGTCATTGGTGCTAGGCGAGCTTCGTGGCGTATAATGTCTTCAATTGAGCAGAAGGAAGAGTCCAAAGGAAATGAGCAAAATGTTAAACTTATAAAAAGTTACCGTCAGAAAGTGGAGGAGGAACTTTCCAAGATCTGCAGTGACATTTTAAGCATTATAGATAAGCACCTGATTCCCTCCTCCTCCTCTGGGGAGGCCACTGTGTTTTACTACAAGATGTGAGTAATGCTGCCCGTAAGATATAATTCCAACTTTATCAAAGACAACTCCTTTGGTCTTCTGCATTGTTCATACTTGCGTCCTTGCAACTGGATCAGTTCAACTATTTTAGTTTTATATCTGATATTATGTAGCAAAGTTGTATCCAATATTTTATTGAAGATAATTGAAAGCATGTCCGGAAAGAGGCACATGCGAAGAGCAGAGAGGCTTTCTTTTTCCTGCCATACTACCTTTATGCTCCTAGCCCCACAAAGAACAATGAGATTGGCCAGAGATGTCGCCAACATTCATGTGATTCAGTTACTTCATGTCCTACTTGTTTTTGCATGGATGTAATATATTCATGTTTATATGATGTTAAATATTCTCTTTTTTTGGGAACTTCATAATTTCATATTGAATGTTTTCTCTCTTGCATTTATTTCAGGAAAGGTGACTACTATCGGTATCTTGCTGAGTTCAAGACTGACCAGGAAAGGAAAGAGGCAGCTGAACAGTCATTGAAGGGCTATGAGGTATCCTTATTGAACATCTCTTGATATGATAGTGATGAATCAATGCCATATCATTTGAACTTTTTAACTTTTGTGTTGCCAGGCTGCTTCCAGCACTGCCAGCACAGACCTTCCATCAACCCACCCAATCCGTCTTGGCCTTGCACTTAACTTCTCAGTCTTCTATTATGAGATCATGAATTCTCCTGAGAGGTGTAAAATTGATAAATCTTGTATAATATGTGAAAGACAGCTGACTTGTCTTTGATCAAATTTTATTTTAGCTTTGGTGATTTGTTTTGTTTCTGGAAATTGCAGAGCCTGCCATTTGGCTAAACAAGCTTTCGACGAGGCAATTGCAGAGTTGGATACCTTGAGTGAGGAATCATACAAGGATAGCACTTTGATCATGCAGCTGTTGAGAGATAACCTCACTCTCTGGACTTCTGATTTGCCTGAAGATGGAGGTAGTAGAGTATACCTAGACTCTTGAGACATCTTTAATTGTATTTATAAAAGCACTTACGGATACAAAATGGATCAATGTAGGGGAAGATAACTTCAAAGCTGAAGAATCCAAGCCTGCTGAACCTGAGGTAAATGCTTAAAGAAGTTCTCAATTGAAGTTCAATAAACTTACGGGGTTTGCCATTTCTAATGGTCTATTCTTTTCCTGCATCAGCATTGATGGGAAATTGTAGCCAGTGATCCTTCCTTTTAGTCCTACAGAAACAAGATGATAAGATCCAATCAATTGCTTTCATCTTATTTTAATTATCTTTCTGTTCAATTTCATTTCAATGTCGTGCTTTTGTTTATGATCTTTATGTGACGCGTGGAAATTTCTCTCTCATATATGATATGTATATTGTACTTTATAAAATCTGCTTTGTAAGCATGGTCCACAAACTATCATGGCGCACAACAGTTTAAAGCGTTTAGGTCCATTAGAAAAGCTTGGCAAAATGTGACCATTTATTCTGTTGTGGGTATTGATATACTCCAATTGGATTCGTATGTCATGCGCAGGTCCTCGATCCTCTTTTAGAAAGATGACTAGAATTTGTGGTTTTCTTTTTTTTCTTCCCGGGATTGGAACTTCAATCATATCAACTTTAATCTATCGTAAGATTTGATGCTTCACCTGTGTTATGAGCTTGTAAACTCCGAAACAGTTTTCTTAACTTCTTGTAAAAGTGTTATTAATGTAAAAAGTTAATTTAATTTATTCTCTAAACAATAAAAGATGATTATGTTATCTCTGTAATCTTGAAGTAAATATAGCTAAATTACAAAAATATTTTGAGAAGATTTAGTTTTAATTAGGATAGGAAAAATACACAGATTGAAATAAATTTTATGATTTGATATTAAATCTCAAACTAATTTATAATAAGTTTTAATTCACTTTATATACAATTTGAGTTCTTTATTATTGAATCAAATCAAGTTACAAGATTTAATTGTGAATTGTAAGATTATAGTGACAGTATGTATGTTAGTTCTATTCGGAACAAGTTCTAACTATACAACATTCATTTTGAAATATGCATTTATTTTAATTATAGAATTTGAAAGTTTTAACAAAAAATGATAAAGATTAAGTTCACAAGAAATTGAAAGTGTTTTCCAAAATTCATCAAAATTAATCTATTAAAGTGTACTAATACTATTCATAATAACCATTTCAAAATCATGTCTACTCCTTTTTATATATTGTAAAGACTCAGAACTTAAATAAAAAATAAATTCATAAATTAAATGTGGAAGTAATTAATAGTAATTAAAGAAATAAAATGAAGAGCGAATAACAAAGCACGTTAAGACAACATTCACTAGCACTTGAAGGGAGTCCGGATAGTGAACTACTCACAACTCTCTTGCTGATTGGAATCTAGATCTTGGTCCTCTTAATCTGAAATAATTAATAAAAGTGTGAGCTACACTAACCTATTAAGAATATCACACTAATCACATATACGAAAAATTAAAAATTGGTGAAAATAAAAAAAAACAACTAATGGAGAGTTTACTTTATTTAAATACCTTTAAATTTGAAGACGTTTGTTTGATACTTAACGTAACGAGTTTTTCCCAAAAACAACCTATAAAGACCCATATTCATACAACTTTTTACTTTCACGCATAAGAGAACAAAAGATAATAATTTTCCTTTCTTCCCTGCTTGTTGGTACCCTTGGGGATCCATAAGAATGTCTTCCCCTACTCGTGCACCTAATATCCAATTTACAATTGAACGGTCGTCCCTATACCCCGTCCGGTAATGGACATCAAACATTCCATCACCTCGATATCCCGTCCAGTATGAGGGTGAACCATATATCTCAAACTTTTCCGGTAAGGGACTTTCTAGGCCCATCTGACTGAGGTAACGTTCACAGTAGGGTTCTTTTTGTACTAGACTCGTCCGCCCTTGCCCTGGGTAACCAACAAGTCTTTCACATACAGATTTTCATTAACAAACAACTAATAAACACATACTAATATCTCATATCGCATTCACAGATCAATTAAATAACATTTATGCAGACGATATACCTTATCATAACAAGAGATTGAGTAATCAGATAACCGAATAAACCAGATAAATCGATAAGACCATTGAACTATAAATTAAGAACATGTACTATACGAAAATCAAATAAGTAGGACAGTACAGAAAAATAAATAGGAAATTAAGACAATTGTGAACTAACCTGTTCTAGCTCCACTAATAACCTGGAATTATTTTTAAAATTTTCTAATTTTTCATAAAAATACGAAATTATACATCATTAAGCGTCAATTTATTGTAATGCAGAATAAGGTGAGGGATCCTTATGCGGATCAGAATTTCGAGACGTCGAGCTGTTTACTATGCCTCTTAACGGGTACTCGATTTTCTGAATTTTTTCTGTAAAATCCAAAACACTCGTCACATAGCTAAAAATATTACAAAAATCCAAAATCGGTGTCCAAAATTCATTCTAGCCAATTTTGGGGATCCGGCACCGGCAGCGGCTCCGCCGCTTACGGCAGGTGGTTTGCCTCAGTCTGGCTGATTTTGGCCGATTTTGTCCGTATTCCTGCAGATAAACACATTAGGGGGTCTCAGTTTGTCGAAAAATCACAAAAACTAAACCTACCGGCGAGGAACCTCCGGGTGTGGTGGCTCTGCCGGTCCTCATTCGCAGCTAAGATTCTTTCTATGGCTAACTTACACAAAAAAGAACGGTGGACACAATGATAAAAAAATCACGTGAAACGAAAAATCGAGAAGAGGTTCATCGGAGGGATTTTGGTCGTCGCGGCTCTGCCGCGTTTTACCCGCAGTTTTTGTCTCACTCGCCATCCCTCTTGCTTCGATTTGGCCATAGAGGTGCTCGGAATCGAATTCCAAGCGGGTATGGAAATTGTTTACTTTTTTGACGACCGACGGTGGCTTCAGTGCGGCGACAGTTGGCGGTGGCTTCGGTGCAGCGATAGTTGGTGGTCGACCTCCTTCTAGCATCTGGTTCTTCTTCAGCAACGAGGGCTGACAACTATGGTTTGAGTTCCAGTATGATGCGAAGTATTTATACCCATCTCGTGTTGATCTGAACCATCCATCGCGATCGATCTCGTATGTCCGATTGCGCCTAAGGAGGAAACAAATCTAGACCGTTCATCGCGATTAATCTCGGTCGTTCGATCGCGCCTAAGGAGAAAATGAATCTGCGTCTTCCACACGCGCGAGGTTGATCTTAAACCGTCGATCATGGGGCACGCAGATTGCCCGCGTGGCACCGACATCAGCGTGTTTTGCCACACGGCGTGATCTGGTTCGTCGAGACTGCTGACTGGGCGGTTCTACGTAGTTGAACTTTCTCTTTTCATACTTTGACCTCTTATTTTTAATTTTTCTTTCAAAAATACCATTCGAACTCAAATTTTCATCTATTTTTCTCAAAATTATTTTCATTCTCGTTCCTAATTTATTTTTTCCTCAAAATTTCAATTAAATAAAAATAAACTAAATTAAGTAATTTTTTTAATAAAATAATTTAATAATAAAAAATATCTCAGGCCATTTTTCAAACTCGAATATTACAACTCTCCTCTCTTAAAAAAATTTGGTCCCTCAAATTGTTTACTCTCTTACTCAGTTAAACAATTGTGGGTACTGGGCCCTGAAGCTTGATTCTAGTTCCCAAGTGGTCTCTTCCTGCGTATGGTTCTGCCATTGGACCTTGACGAATGGAATTTCTCAGTTGTGGAGTACTCTACTTTTTCGGTTTACAATGTCAACTGGTACCTCTTCATAAGATAGATCTTCCTGGAGTAAAAAATGCTCGTGGAATAGGATGTGTAAGGGATCTGGTTTGTACTTGCTTAGCATAGATACGTGGAATAAATTATAAACCCTAAATAGCTCTGGAGGTAGTATCAGTCTGTAGGCAGTCGTACCAATCCAGTCTAAGATCTCAAATGGTCTGATGAACTGGGAATTTAATTTTCTCCTCTTGTTAAACCTACTAATCCCCTTGAAATGAGTGATTTTAAGAAACACTCAGTCACCTTTTTCAAATTCTAAATCCCTCCTCCGGTTGTTCGCATAACTTTTCTACCTGCTCTGAGCTATATATATGTTCTTCCTTATCTTAACTATCTTGACTGTAGTCTCCTCCATAAGATCTGGCTGAATAATTTGCTATCACCTACCTCTTCCCAGCATATTGACGATCTGCATGGGCGGCTATACAATACCTCATTCGGAATCATACCGATACTTGTTTGGTAGATATTATTGTAGGCATACCTTATCAAATGTAGGTGATCATCCCAATGGTCTCCGAAGTCTAAAACACAAGATCAGAGCATATCATCAAGTGTGCGAATCGTTCTTTCTGATTGTCCATCAGTTTGAGGGTGGAATACGGTATTAAAAGACAATTTCGTTCCCATTGCTTGTTGAAAACTAAACCAAAATCGAGAAGTGAACTTGGAGCCTCTGTCAGATACCACTGATACTGGAACTCCATGTAACCTGACTATCTCTCGAATATACATTATTGCTACCTTGTCCAAGGGTTCGGTCATCTTGATAGCCAAGAAGTGAAAAGACTTGATGAGTCAGTCGATAATTACCCAAATAACACCATGTCCTAAGCGTGCCTTAGGCAGCCTTATCACGAAATCCAATGTGATATGTTCCCACTTCCATTTCAGGATCAGTAATGGTTGAAGTAGTACATTTGGGCATTGATGTTCTACTTTAACCTGTTGACATACTAGATACTTGAAAACAAAGTCGGCTACCTCTCTTTTCATCCTACTCCATCAAAATCGGGATCGTATACTTTGATACATTTTAGTACTTCTGGGATGCATAGTGAACCTTGAGCTATGAGTCTCTATCATGATATCCCTTTTCAGTTCACTGTCACCCGAAACATACATCTTATCCTGAAATCTGAGCAACTCATCGGCAAAGACTCAAAATTTTAAATTTACTCCCTATTCTGTATCCTTTCTGAGAGCTGTTAAGGTGGAATCGGTGGATTGGACTTCTCTTATTTTCTGGATTAATTCTGGTTAGACAGTCAGGTGGGCCAAACATGCAACTTTTTTCAAGTCCTGAAGTTGTATCTGTTGTGTATCCCCTATTACCCTACATTCAGAAACTATTAGGTGAGCTAACATACCTATACTTTTTCTATTGAGTGCGTCGGCTACTACATTGCCCTTACTCGAGTGATAAAAAATATTATAATCATAATCCTTGAAGAGCTCTATCTAACGCCTCTAACGCATGTTCAAATCCTTTTGAATGAAT